GCAAAGGGCGTGGGCAATTCTGCCCATGCCACCCTCCTTGTATTCAGCGTTATGGGAAGCAGTTACTAAGTAGCACTCCGGAAGTGCTACTTCTCCACAGGGTAGAGGACCATAGGCCAAGGCTATGTTTGGCTATTCCTTGTCTCCATCTTGGGCCAGGCCATCGCACAGCCAGGAGAAACTCTGGTCATTCAGTATGTATGACAGTGAGGGCAAGAGCATAGAGATAAAGGAGCCCAAGGGCTTGCTGTGCCCCAGAGGCCCTGGACCCCTCCTGCTCCTTCCCTCTTCCTCCGCCTCTGAATCCAGTGCCCAAGTACCTGGGAGAGCAGCGTGGACAGGGCTCCTGTGTCCCTGAGACCAGGTTTGCCACGGGCCAGCCAGGGGCACTCAATGACCCACGCTGGGGCTCACCCTGCACCCTGGGGGGTCAGGCTCAGGCTGTTGTGTAGGTGCTGCTCCTTCCTCGCCCCAGGGACCGCCCCCCGCAGCTCCGTGCTGTCCTAGGTCACTGTTTTCCTCTTTGGCCTTCACAGCCCAGGTGTCTCCGGAATCCCCCTTTCATGCTGTTCCTGGTCCTGCCCCAGGTCTCACCTCTTCTCTTCCTGAGCAGAGACCCCATCCCCGACTCCCAGGTCCCCTGCAGCCTGAGCTGCCTGTTCCCCCAAATCCTAACCTCCTGCCCTGCTGTCTCCTTGGATGTCCACTCATATGGCCAGCTGCCAACTAGGTCCCAGGTCCCAACATGTCCCCAGCTGAACTCATGACCGCTCCTGAGTCCTCGTCTTCTCTGGGGGACTTGCTATCTGGCAATGACACCCGGCCTTCCATCTGTCCTGCTGGAATTCCACACCTCGTCCTGACTCCTCCCTTCCCCCTCTCTGTCCACCAATCACCCATCTCAATAATGTCAACTCTGTGTCCCCTCGCTGTGCCTTCACTTCCCCAACCTAACGCTCTGAGTTAGGCTACCACACTCCCCACCCAGGCCCCGGCCACGCCTCCAGAACGGCTTCCATTTGCCTCAGTAGCAGAGTTATTTTCAAGTGCCAAGTTGACGTCACTCTGCACCTTCTGGGATTCAACCAAAAGTTCTGGTTCAGTGCACGGGACTCTTCAAAGCTGTCTCTTGCCCCTTCTCCACCAGCAGCTCTCCTCTTGGCCTCAGGATCTCTACTCTTGGGGCTCCGCCTCCCCAGGCCCCAAAGAGGCTCCTGGGTACCTGGCGCCAGGACACAGAAACTCTAGATGGCAAGCTGGGGCTCCCCGTGTCGGAAAGGCCAGTGCCCCATACTCTGGAGTTCAGTCAATGTGAGTCAGTTCCCCGGAGCTGCCTGTTTGGGGTCCTTGAGGTAAGGTTGAGGTCCTAGCCACATCTGGCCTAGCAGGAGGGTCACGGCTGATGGGTCATTTCTCCCACAGCCACCATATTGAAGCAGGGTCACATGTTAGATGGGGGGCTGCCCCCGAATGGAATAGTGCCCAACAGGATGGTTCCCAGGTCTGAGGGCTTACTCAGCACCAGGCTCTGTTAAGCATTTGGAGGCAAGATCTCATGAAATCTTCCCATGAACAAGGGGCAAAAGGCCTCTTTATTATCCCCATTCCACAGATGTGGAAATAAAGGCCAGAGAAGTTAGATAACTTTCCCACGGTTAGCAGAAACACCCCAGGCCAGAATTCGAATCCATTTCCATTGGATTCCAGTGTCATCAAAACACAGGGGGGTCATTGAGGCACAGGGGTGGGTAGAAGGCTTCTGAGGTGGTAAACAGAGCAAGCAGGCAGCAGCATCGCAGAGACAGATGGGTGAGGATGCAGTAACTGCCACCCTAATTGGGTTTGTGGCTCCCGTGGTTCAAGTTCAAGGCCATCCAGGGAAGGTAAGTCATTGGCAGGTGAGGGGAGCATCCTCCAGGTACCCTTCCTCCTCCACAGCCCTGGCTCCTTGGAAGGCTGTGTGGCACGGGACAGAGGCCAGCAGAGTGTCAGGGAAGGACATTTTAAGTCCCGCTGGTCGGAGGCTCCACCCAGGGCCTCCAAATGGGCCTCGGGAGGCAGACACTTGCAAAGGTGGGCATTCATCATTTTTACACCTACGTTCAGATCCCTAATAATGAAGTAATAATATTGCCAAGTCTTTACCATGCGTTCTAGGAGCTAGTGAGAAGACTAATTATCTGACGACACTAATAAATGGTTATGATGTTATTAAAAAGGGCACCAAGCTAGGATTAATAGGCTCATCAATTGTAGGGAATCGGGTTTAACAAGGTCCTCTGCATGTCCCATTAGGGCTCATGGCCTTGATGGATCCTGGGCCTCCTAAAGGGCCTCCTAGCTGTGCAGAGGAGGCCGTGGATGAGGCTCCCTCCCTTTCCCAGCTGAGGGTCACTCGGGAAGACGAGGCTCTGCTGGGCTTTCTCTGCATAGCCCTTTTAAAAGTGGCTCTTCCAAGCTCTTGGGCCACTGGAGAGGCTGTGACTGGCAAGAGCAGTTCAGCCCGGCTCACATCCGCACGTGGCCTTCGCTCTGCCTATGACACCCCCTTCCGCCCCTGCCTGGCTTGCCTCTGCAAAGGACGGGCTCAGAACCCACCCAGGGCCCCAGACTCCAGAGCCCCACAGGAGGCGCAGGGGAGCGGATAGACGGAGGTGCCTCTGGGGCCTGCTGACTGATTTCCATAATAATTACAGTTATTACTAATAACAGTGACAACACCACTCCCCTCCACTTACAGCGGATCCTACCACCTAGAAGCTGCTCCCCCACCCGCTGTCTCCTCCGGGCCTCACCACGGCTGGGAAGAACTCGGGGCAGGTATCATCATTCTCACTGCGGAGTCAGGAAATGGGAGCTCAGGGAGGCAAAGGGACTTCCTGAGGCCCCTTCCCCCAGCCTCCAAGGAATAACTGGAAGATGGGTGTGGGGGTGCACATCTGTAATCCCGCAACTCAGGAGGCTGAGGCAAGGGGATCACAAGTTTGAGGCCAGCCTCAGCAACTCAGCAAGACCCTGACTCAAAATAAATAACTAACTACATAAATAGGGGTAGGGATGTAGCTCAGTGGTAGAGTGCCCCTGGGCTTAATCCCCAACAGCAATAAATAAATAAATACCATTTTTAATAGAAGATGCTGAGGCTGCGCTGATTAGGAAATACACACATGTTAACTGAGTCCTCGTGACAACCTCATGAAGCAGGTATTATCATCATTCCCCTTTCACAGATGAGGAAACTGAGGCACAGAGAAGTTAAGCAACTGTCCAGGAACACACAGCTCCTAAATGGCAGAACCAAACCCAGCCTGAGTTCATCCTCTTTACCATTGAGACTTTCCTATCAGGCTTCCCCGGAAGACCGGTTCCCTAGGCCCTAGGACAGGACTCCGCGGAGTCAGGCTCTGCTTGAGCCTTCATGCTCCAAGCTACAGCCTCCCTCCCCGTTCTCAGCCTCCAAGGTACGGTAGCCCCCTCAGACCCTTAACAGGAAGTCTGTTTGGCTTGCCTCCTCCCTGGAGAGGTGAGGTAATGAGTCCTACCCATTGGCTGGCACTTGTGGGTTGCAAAGACCTACTGCATGAGCTGCCTCTGCCCTGGCTCCTGATTAGGATATGCTTTTTGGAGAGGCTGCAGCCCTGGGCTGCTAAGGCACAGAGCCCCCAAAGACTCTACCACTTTGAATCCAGATCCACCACTTACTCTCCCGGGGCCTTCTCTTTACTGCCTCATCTGTGAAATGGGTGTTACTGACAGCATTGACCACAGGCGGCTGGATTCAGGGTAAGTGAGAGAAGGAATCCAAGGGGTCTATTATAGCCCAGGCCCTGCATCCGTTAGCTTCTGGTATGATTTCTATGGAGTTAGACAGATTCTTCCATCAAGTAGAGGACTCTGAGCCGGAAGGCAGGGGCATTTATTCTGTGCCAGGTGAGCCTGCACAAATGGGGCCTTAGGGGTTGCAAATATTCTAAATCCTCCTAGAGGAGAAATGCAGACATGGAGGCCCAGGGGGGTGACGAAATGTGAGGGTCACACGTCTATTGGGTGGGAAAGCCGCACTGAACCCCGGGTTCACTGGACTGGGGGTCCCTGCTTCCAAGAGCCAGGATGTGTTTGTGGTAGCATCTCACGAGGCATGTGGAGCCGGAGCCTCACAGCAATACCAAACGGCTCCCGGGAAGAGGGGGATTAATGTGCCCATTTCACAGAGGAGAAAGCAGCTCACAGAGGTCAGGTGACTCACCCCTGTCCCCATGCTAATGAGGGAAGAATCAGGAGACCAGGGTCCCTGATCTCTCCCCTGCTGTGGCTTCCCTACCCCCTTGATCCCCCCCTGCTGTGGTGTCCCTAGCTGGTGGCTCCTCTGCTTCCCTCCCATGTCCCTCAAGCCCTGGCCCTGACCAGCCGCCCTCTCTTCCCTCCGCCCGCTGTGGCTCCTGCTTCCCGGCCCTTCTCCTACCAGCAGCCTGAGAAGCTGCTTCTGGTCTCTTCTGGTAGAGCTTGCTCACCCTCCCTCCCGACCCTCAGCCGGCTCTCTGGACCACCTGTCTCCCCCGTGAACCCAAAGTTCCTAGAAGCAGTGACAGATCTCTCCGTGTCCTTGAGGTTGGTGGACCGTTCCATCCTGGCCCCCCAGCCCCTGGCCCACGTCTGGGACATGCTTTTGTACCTCTTAAAGGAGCCGAGGGCCCTGAGAAGCTGGGAGACTCCTGAGAAAGTTCATCATAGATGCTGGTGGGGCATGCTCAGCCTCAGGGGCTGACACAGGTGTTTACAGGAGGTGGTTGGCAGGAGGAGGTGCCCAGGAGGCGGGGCAGGTCTGGGAGAGCTGGGCACACTTCCCCAGTCTCCAAGGGCACAACCTTCACCTCCATAGCCCTGGCCACCAGGTCCTCAGCTGCTGGATGCCTGGCCCTGATGCACAAGTAGCACCTTATCAAGCCTCCCAGGGGCCTTGCCCACCACCCCACCCCCGCCCGCACCCCTGTCCCGCTTACGTGGTCGATGAGCTCCTTGACCATGCCATTCCACTGGCCCTTGTCGTCCTGCGCCCCGTACTTGCCGTCCTCCACCAACCGGATCTCATAGGAGAAGCCCAGGATGTGGGCCAGCTCCTTGAGCAGGTCAACGCAGTAGCCCTCGAAGCGGTCATTCCCATACAGGGTCCTGTCAGACTTCCGGAACATGACGAAGGGCTCCTCCTACAGGGACAGATGGGGGAGGGGATGACAAAGGCTGAAGGGGAGGTGGAGGCGGCTGGAAACCTCTACTTTTTAAAAAATAAAACATTTGAGGGCTGGGGTTATGGCTCAGTGGTAGAGCGCTTGCCTAGCATGTGTGAGGCACTGGGTTCGATTCTCAGCACCACATATAAATAAGTAAAATAACAATCCATCAACATCTAAAATAAATAAATAAATAAAAAACATTTGGGGTGGCTCAGATGAGCGGCCGGCTAAGTGGGCAGAGGGACAGCGCATTTCCCAAGAGCCAACTTGGTGCCCTGCAAGCTGAATGCTATGGGCAGTTCCTGGGTACCTACTGACCCGCTAGCCCAGTGGCCACAGAGCTAGAAGGTGGTAGGACAGGGCTTTGAGCTTGAGACCGCCTGATTCTAAACCCACGTTCTCTCTGGGCCAGAGTTCTGAGTGAGCTCCCGGGGCAGCATCAGCGGCAGGACCTGGGAACTTGTTGGAAATGCACATTCTCGGACTGCATCCCAGACCTACTGTGCCAGAAACCCTGGGTGTGGCCCAGCAATCCGGGTTTGCATAACGCTCCTGAGAATCCGGATGTCCACTCAAGTGGGAGGACAGGGCTGTAGAAAGCCCTTCATCAAGTGTCTTCCATACTCCGGCTGGAAGATTAGATCGACACACTCCTGATACCACTCTCTTTCTAAGCATCTCCTCAGTCTCCGCGCTAGGATCTGCCAGGTGAGTGATGGCCAATAACGGAGACAGCTTCATTTGTATGTGGCTGTGCGGGCTCCAGGAAATTAGCAAATGAGACAGAGCTCAACGTGCGTGCTGAGCACAGGAGCCCAGAGTCACCAGGCAGAAGCCGGGTGCCTGTTTAACTGCAGAGCAGACCCATAGGGGGTACTCGTGACCCCATCTGATGGAGGCAGGAAGTGAAGTTCTGGAGGACAAGTGACTTGCACCTGCTGACCCCGGGGGCATCGAGAGGGGACCTGAACTTGGGGGATGGGACCCCTGAGTGCAAATTCCAGAGGCCCCAATCCCCATGGTGTAGCTCCCTGGGGACAGGTGATCCTCATAAGGTGGTTTGTAGAGCCAAGGACACCTGACCTGTGTCAGATTCCCCTGCCACAGGCCCCCACATCTGCAGAACCTGGGGGTTCTGATGTGTCAAGGTCCAGGCCTCCAGCATGGTGACCGGAGGCCAGGTCAACATGCAAGCCCATGTCGCTGCTGGTTCTGTCTACCCAGGCTCACGCATATTTCCCTAAGTTGGGGTCTGGCTGAATTCCAAAAAAACTCAACATGGAATGAATTCCTACTATGCACCAGGCACCAATTTAAACTCTTATCACAGGATGTCTTAAGTCTCACTAGCTTGCAAAATAGGTGACATTATTCCTATCTGATAGATGAGGTTCAGAGAAGGTCAGAAAGTTGCCCAAAGTCACACAGGAGCTGACTTACAGTTCGATGGGTGCAGCTCCAACCCTCCGTGGGCAGCACCCCTGCCTGGCTGTTTCCCTTCATGTTCCGGGGGGCCGAGGGGGGTGTCGGAACTCCCTGACTTCATGGGCTTTCCTAGATTCCAGACTCGGGTCTAGAACTGACGTTCCAGTGCCTGCCTCTGGACCACTGGCTTGGGCCTGCAGCTTCCCTGCTCCTTCCCGCTGGCCGACCTTCCCCGAGCCCCGCTGGGCAACCTCTGCGTCAGAACGCCTCGGGCCTCAGCTGAAGGAATGGTCCTGTGGTGGAGGCCTGCGTCCCCTCCTGCCTACATTAAGGCACATGCCTGAGTATGCAGGTGTCCTACTGGCCTCTCCACTGCTGAGGCCATGCTCTTGACCCCATGGGCCCCTGGGGTGGGCTGGGCACTGGGAGGTCCAGTGAAGACTCCTGCCGAGGTCGGTCAGGAGCAGAACCCCCAGTAGCCTCCAGGGAGCTCCTGCTATGGAGGGGTTCAATTTTTTGGTCCAGGTTCTCCAGCACTGCCACCTCCCGAAATCCCGTCCCCCATATGACTGATCCACTCTGGCTTTCAGGAGTCCCTTGGGATGGGGGACGCGGGGCACATCTGAATCCCAGGGGGCCCTGACTCTTCAGGGATGCTGGGAAAACATCTTCTCAGTCTAATGGATGGAAAGCTGGACCTTTCGGCCAGCCTTGGTGCCTGACCTCAGTGCCTCTCCTGTCCTCCCGCCAACTGAATAGGTGGCTCAGCAGTGTTGGGGACGAGTCCAGGTGGGCTTGGGGAAGGTACTGAGGCCACCTGGAGGAAAGGGAGATTCATCTGGTCCATATGAAGCCTTCCTATCAATTAGTCTTTGGGCAGAGGCTGCCTGAACCCTGGTCCAGGGCCTGGTGAGCAGTGCCTGGGCAGAATTTCAGTCCAAACTCATCCTTGGTTGATGCTCTTGTGCAGTGAACAAGCCACACTACCGCCCATGGTGGCCCTGATTTTATTTAGTTCAAGGAAAGACTCAGAGAGAAGGTACCATCTTGCCTAGGGGAACCACCAACCACGCCTAGATTCTTAATTCCTTCTGGAAGATGGGGGTAATAACAGACCCCACCCTAACCTGCAGGGTTGTTGTAAGGATATAACACATCCACCTCCGAGAAGCACTTAGCACCTGGCAAGTGTTAGCTGTCCATATTGTCTCCATCAACACTGTCACTGTCGTCATCACCTTCTTCCCGTGTGCTGGCTGACCTGTTACTGCAGTGACCTTTCCAACCTAGAGACCGCCCCCAATGCCACCACAGGGTAAAAATCACCTCGCCGGCAGGGGGAAACCACTTGGGAAAGGTCCCTGAGAAAGCACACCTCCTGACCCCTCTGCCCCCCTCTCTGGCCTTATCCTCTAAAATTAGCACTTCATTTGTGAAGCCACCGAAGCCCAGAATCTATACATCTCCATATAAATACGCTGCCTTCGGAGCAGCTGTAAAATGCCATTAATTTCGGGAAGTGCTTTGCGGATGGCATACATATTTAACAGCCAAAGCCCAGAGCATTAAAATGGTGCTCGCCTTAGTAATGTGTCTCCAGACCTGCAACATTTCCTAGGGGGTAATTCTGAACTCCGCCAACTACTTATTCATGGACTATTTCACAATTTATTACTGGAAATGTCCAGACAGCCAATTCACAAGCTCTCTCGGCTGCTAATCGATTGCTCAGTGAAGGTGCCCTCAATTTCATAACTTCACGCTCTCCTATTGCTCGGGGAGAACAGCCGTAGGACCAGGGGTAATATTTCTCTTCAACAAGTCACAGAAAACAGGGGTCCAGAAAAATAACCTTTTCCGACTTTCTGTCACTGGGGCTGCTGCTTGGGTTTCTCAACAATCACTTTGACCAATGTGAAAGCAGGGCCTAGCACTAAACTTCTCCCCGTGATAGGACCCTGGAGTCAGAAAAGCGGGCTGGGGGACTAGCCCTAAGTGGGGAGGGGCTCAGGGGTTAGCTACCTAATCACTCTGCTCCCACAACCTGCTCCTTCCTTCCTTCCTTCCTTCCTTCCTTCCTTCCTTCCTTCCTTCCTTCCTTCCTTCCTTCGTACTGGGGATTGAACTCAGGGGCACTTGACCACTAAGCCACTTCCCCAGCCCTATTTTGTATTTTATTTAGAGACAGAGTCTCACTGAGTTGCTTAGTGCCTTGCTAAGTTGCTGAGGCTGACTTTGAACTTGATCCTCCTGTCTCATCGCCCCCTCCCCGCCCCCACCCCAGTGCTGGGATTACAGGCATGTGCCACTGTGTCTGGCCTTCACCCTTCCTTCTGATGTCAACCCACATCCACATGTTGACACCCGTAGGTACCCAGAGCCCCTGGCAACACCATGTGCCCAGGTGGTCTGTCTGCCTAGCCCTGCTGGGACACGCTGGTCAAAGCCCCTGGACCCAGGGCTTCTGCTGGTTAGAACAAGAGAGGCAGGAGGAACTGGCTGCTGGACTGGGGTGCTTCTCCCAGTCCACATTCTGGCCCTGGCTGGGTCCCCTCTCCTGAGGCTGGGTGCTGAGGGTTCGGCCGGCCTGGCAGTTGGGTCTATGTGGGTCACGATGTACACTCAGCACAAATACTGCCAGTGAGCATCCGGACCCCAAGGGTGGCCAGTTCCACACCCACACCCTGACACTTCCGCTCACATCAGCAGCTAAAAGAACCCTGAACCTTCAAAAGCAGGGCCCCCAGGAGTGGGCCGGGTGTGCTTTCTCTGTGTGTGAGCTGAGGTTTGGGCAGATGAATTTTTCATGACCTCATGGAAGAGCGGAACTAGAACAGAGGCCGGGGCGGGCGGGAGTCAGGGTGGGGGGGGGGGCGGAGTGAGGTGCTGCAGGCAGGAATGGGCAAGGCTGCAAGAGCTCAGAGAGTCAGAGTGCATGCAGTCAGCTTCTGTCCGTCTGCCTGTCCAGGGCGAGGCACCCTCAGCACCTAAGCCCAAGTTTTAGCACAGGGGAGAAGAGGAGGCCAGTTTGGGGGTGGTCCACCCAGAGCTGCTGGGGTCTGCCACAAACAGGGAAAAGAAAGAGGGGGAGAAACCCCCGGGGGTCTCAGCTCCAGGCCTTGTTCCCCAGAGGCAAAGTGGTTTGATGTTCTTGCCCTGTGATTCAGTACCTGCCTGTCACTCAAAGTGCTGTTGCCTTGACAACGCACTCCTGGCCAGGCAGGGGGCTGCGCTCACAGCGGGAGGTGCTGGCCCTGCATTCAGCTGACTAGCACAGGGGCTGGGTTTTTCAGCCAGAGCCACTGGGCCTGGGCCAGGCTGGGCCACTCCCTACAACCTGTGCAGCTGCACCAGAAGCCCACGACAGAGAGCTTCCCCCAGGGCTCTGGACATGCAGACGGTGGCTCGGAGCCTTTCAGGCACCTTCCCTGGAGCATCTGAAGCAGCTCTAGGTCTCCAGGTGGCCCCAGGCCAATCCTTCACAGGAGCGTGCATCTCTCTCCCACTAGGATACTTTCAGCTGGACACAGAATTTCTTGGAGACCTGTGCAAAGGCTGGACCACATTCTCCCTCCATTTCCTGCCTCCAGGAAATACTAGGCTTTTCTCACTGCCCCACAGGGAGAAGCAGAGCTGACCCCAGGGGACGGGGAGAGGTGAGCCCTGGCTCATCCCTAGGCCATGTGGCTGATACTGCATGATGGAGTGAAGATGGTCAGTGTGGCCATCCATGGGTGTGGGACAGCTGCTTCAAGGCATGTCAGAGGTCAAGGCAATAGGGCCAGAGAGATGAACTGTTATGATGTCAGAGCCAGGCGCTCAGACAGTGACCAGGGAAAGGGACTAGGAGACAGCTGATGTGATCTGCAGTGTCACATCTGAGCAGAAGATACAGCTTGGGTTCCTGAGGGGGGTCACCAACCCTAAGGCCTTCAGAGGCCAGTGGGGAAACAAAGTGATAAGAAGCAGCCTCACAGCCCGGCGGGCATAGTGGTGCACGCCTGTAATCCCAGTGGCTCAGGAGTCTAAGGCAGGAGGATCGTGAGTTCAAAGCCAGCCTCAGCAAAAGTGAGGCACTAAGCTACTCAGTGAGACCCTATTCCTAAATAAAACACAAAATAGAGCTGGGGATGTGGCTCTGTTGTCGAGTGTCCCTGAGTTCAATCCCCGGTACCTCCCCACTAAAAAATAAAAGAAAAGAAGCAGCCTCACGTATGCATGTGCCCATGAGGGAGTGATGGAGTCTGGAGAGGCCCACTGGACCAGTAAGACATTCAGACACAAATTCAAAGTTTATAATGCAATGTGCCCCATGCCAGGAATCACCACTGGGACTGCGGTCAGTCTTTGGTGACATCCAGGGCTCTGCCTGTGGACAGAAGCAGAGGTTTTCACTACAACTCTTCGTCCAAGTGATATGCTCAACCCAAGCTCAAGGGGCTCTGGATATATAATCAATAGCAATGAATAACAAAAACAGCTCTCATTTAGTGCTTGCCCCACGTGGTTTATATTTATTAACCATTCATCCTCTCGACTCCACGGAGTAGGTGCAATTATTATATCTCACCTTTCAGATGGGAGCCAGGCACAGAGCGGTTAAGCAATGTCTCAGGGTCACACCTAAGTCAACAGGGAAGCCAGGACTCATCCCCAAAGGCCGTGCTCTTAGCCATCACACGGCCTGCCCCTGCAACCGTCCCAAGATGGTCTTTCTCTCCCTCTTGCCTGGGCCTAAGGGCCAGTCGGAAGTTAGGGTGGGATGCCCCTTAATGGAATGAACATGACAGGTTGGGGACATTGGCAAGAAGCTGCCGGTGTTCATGAAGAAGCGGAGAATACTGGCAGGTCAGGAGCACGGGGTGTCTGCTGGATTCTGCCTCTGCTCCAGTAGGAAAAACCCCGTGCTTCTGCACAAGGACCTAAGAAATCCCTGATGCCTCTGCAGAAGGGTTTTATGCCCTTGGAATTGGGCTGCTGCCATTTTAATAAAATTTAACCCTGTGGTCTTTCAAGGTGGCTGTCTTTTGAATCTTTTTGGGATATTCGCCCTCACTTACCTCTTCCTTTCCAAGTATTGTTTTGCGGGTTCTACCGCCTTAGCTCATTTAATCATCTCTCCTCCGAATCTCTTAAATCATACTAGTTTTATCTTTTTTTAATCTTGCCTTGCAAAAAGTGTTTTATTTATATCTCACATTTTATGCAGCTCTGCTTTTAATCTTTTACCACCTTTTTATTATTTTATTTTTACCCTTTTATATTTGAGCTTTGTCACACTTTTATCCTTTTGCTTTTTGACATTTTGGTTTAACATTTTTTACCTTGTCTAGTCGGGGCCGTAAATTATTTAATTTTTCGTCTTTTTTAATATCGCTCCTTCCTCTCTCATTCCTTACCTTCATTTTCTCTTCATTATTTCCCTCTTAACCTTTCTATTTGGCTCCTCCCTTAACTCTCCCTTTTCTCCGTCCTATTTTTAAACACATCCATATTCCTCTAATTGCCCATCAGCAACCCTCTAATTCCTTTGCTTTTTTTTATTTGTTTATTTTTATCTTTTACATTTTCACATTATGGTTTTTTCTCCTGTTCTTGTTGAGATCTTTTGACTTATTGGGTTTAGCAGCTTGAATTTTTTATGTGAGCCTAGTTAACAAGAAGTGGATCATAAAGCCTGTCAGGATGGAGAGATCATATATATATATATATATATATATATATATATATATATATATATATATATATATATATATATTTTTTTTTTTTTTAACTGGGAAGATTCCAGAGAGGGTCTTGCCCCAAAGAAGGGGCTATTCTCTCCCCAGCCCTCTTCCTCTGGCTCCATCAGCAACCTGCCAAGAATCCCCATTAGACCTATGTCCCCCTTATTGGGGATCTCTCGGTGATAATAACCCTGGGATCTGGGGATAAGGCCCACAGACTCAAGCTCCCGCTACACAGGGGCGGTGCCCTGAGGTCTGCTATTCCCTGGGATTCCTGGAGGAATGGTGTGCTTCCCCATTGCATCCCTACCTGTCCCACCACCCAGCCTCTGGGCGCCTGTGCCATGAGTCACAGTTTGGGGGAGGACATAGGACCATCCAGGAGGGCCTGACCAGAGGCATCTGCTGGGAAAGCAGCAGGGAGCCACCCGTCTGGACAATGCTGCATGCAGGCTACTCCCCGCAGCAGCCTTACTGAACCCCAAACAGGCTCTGTGAGCTCCCCCCTGGGTAGAGGAACAGCCCAGGCATGTGGTCCTCACAGGTCTGTTTGCTGTGTTATAAGGGAGAGGCTGAATAGGGCCAGAATTACCCTTAAATCTTGGGTCAGATTCTGCTGGGCTGTGACTGAGCTGTCTCCCCTCAAGCTAGCCCTGCGAGGGTCCCCATGAGCAGTGCTGTGACTCTGAGAGGGTCTGTCCTGTGCCTCTGCACAGTCCTGAGGCCTCCCTCGCAGGAGGGGCTGGCCCTGTGGAGTGGCTTTGATGCTACTCGGTGGAAGGAACCGAGGCCTGAGTCTGTCCTCTGGCTCTGATCCAAGCTGCAAGGTGCAGAGAGCACGGGAGATCCCAAGAGCCACTTCCTGGTTGAAATGGGTCAGAGGGGACTCTATTCAGTCCCCATCTGAGGGAGGAGGAGGATGGAGGAGAGAGGAAAGCATGGAGAAAGGATGGGATGCCAGTGGTCCTAGCTGCCAGCTCTCAAGGAGGGGACACTGCAGAAGGTGGCATGTAACAGGCTTCCAGCCTGGGGAGGCAGAGCCACAGCAACCCTCACAGCTGAAGGACGGAGCGGGAGAAGCAGCCTGTGGCCTGGTGCAGTAGGCAGCTCACCCCCTTCTACCTCCATCTTGGTTCCTACTCAGACAGCAGGGGCTCAGGTAGTGGATGGGGGTGGGGTGCACAAGCATGGGTCTCCCTCAGCCATGTGAGTGGCACCCATGTCCCAGCTGCTCCCTAGGGTTCCCACCTTCCTGAAGCCCCCCGCCACCACCCGGCCTTTTAGAGGTGAGCACGACAGGGGTCTCTCCAGCCTAGATGGCGAGCCCACCCCCAGCGCAGACAGCCCTTCCCACAGGGGCTGCAGGCTCTTACCAGCACGGTGGTGACGATGAGTGACCTGTTTGTCAGAGAGTCGGTGACATTAGGGCCTCGGCCTTTGGCAACCTCCGTGATATTGAGCCCGTCAGCGGGGCTCCACACCCCCACCTGGACGGACAGACAGAGGAGAGGGTGCTTTCCATGTGCTCCCTAGCCGCCAGGAGCACCGTCATCCCACTGTCGTTGCCTGCATGCTGGGAGTCAACTGTACCGATGACGACTCTGTTGCCCTCCCTGTCCTTCCAGGACAAAGACCCCCAAGGCATCCACATGCCTGGATATATATACCACCTCCCCTTTCAGAGGGACAGGAAATCAGAGGCAGCTCCAGGGAACCTGGAAAAGCAGCTGGGCTGAGCAGATGCCAAGCCGGGGCTGAGCGACTTGGAGGTCCTGCCCTGGGGTCAGGTCCTGCCCTGGGATGCCTCTTGGAAGACCCTGAGCATCCTGCTGCTCACTCACTGGGTCTGAGTCCCAGTGTCACCTTCAGTGACCAGACACCTTCCAAAGCCCAAGATGGCCTGGAACAAGGGCCACATGCCCCACCCGATTGTGGACTGAGGGAGCAATGAGCGGCCTGTGCGCAGGCCTGCAGTCTGGCAGGAGGGCTGTCCTCGGAAGCCCTTTGGGGGTGGTAGCATAAGGAGGGGTGAACTTCACAGCAGGGGGTGGTCTGGGATGCCCCTGGGTTTGAGGACAGTTTATTTTGTGAGTTACTTCTAAAGTCAGCAGACACCTTGGCCAAGATGGCAAAATATCTGCACCCTGTCCCCAGCACCCTTTGGATACGGGGTTTGAGGCTGGAGGGAGGAAAGGAAGGTCAAGTTTATAAATGGGCCTAAAGCTCTGGGCCTCTTGGAGATCCTTTCTGACTCAGCTCTGCCCAGCTGTGCCCCATTTTGGCCCCTCTCTGTCAAGGAAGGTTCTGGCACGCCCACTGTGTCCTTGGCCCAGTTGGGGAGGGGGGGGGTACTCAGGAAACTTAATCAATTAAACAGAGAGGCTGAATGCAAACACCCCATTCAGAGAGCTGTGAAAAGCAGATAGCAGAGAGATATGTAATTATGCCTGGGTAATTCTGCTTTAATCCTCCCAAAGCCACTGGCTGAAGCTGCCTGGATCAGCTATGACCTGGCTTAGCAAACAGAAGTGAGGATATGAGAGGCCGCGCGGCTGCGTTTGGGGCTCAGCATCCTCTCCAGGCAGGATCTCTGCCTCTGCGGACCACCAGGGCCACATGGAGAGGGGACAGGTAGGCAGCAGCCAAGAGGCTCTTTTCTCACATGGACCAAGCTCAGAGTGGAGGTCAGCACTGGGGTGTCGGAGGTACTTAACAAACATCTGTCCAGAGGTTGCATGAACAGCAGGGTCCCTCCTGTAGAAAGCTCTACTGAGTTCTGGCTTTGGGGCTTGCTAGACAGCAGGTGCTTTGGAGCTGAAAGACAGTTAAAGAGCGAGGAGGCTCTCTGCTCACAGTCTAGGTGGCTGTGACCAGGAGCCTCTGGTGGGTGCCCCACATGCCAATCTATGTCCAGGGATAATGGTATTGAGCATTGGCCAGGGTGTGCCAGATTGCTGGGATAGGGAGACTCCAGGTGGGCACAGATAGGAAGAGTGTGCCAGTGATCAATTATTGATGCCTGCCATGGGCACAGGAGAAGGAAATGGTAGCGTGTGTGCCATCGACTGTCATCTCTATTTTCAGAGACGCGGTAGCTGAGAAAGCAAAACTACAACAGCAACCTGAGCGAATTCTGCACCCCCGAAGCGCTGTCAGGAAGGCTGCTCTCCACCAGGGTTGAAATGGAACCCACTCCATGGGAACTCAGAGTTTGCATGGGGTTGGACCAACTGGCCTTGGTCATCTCAGGAGTGCAGGCCACAACCCCGTCCTTAGGGGCTGGCACAATGTGTGACATGAAACGGTTGTGAAGGAAGGGTGAGCTCTCCCTGTCCAACCCCTCCCCAGCACAGTGGCCCCCATGTGTCAGAAAGCTCAGGAGTTCACAGAGGACTCCTGGCCACAGGAGCTGCAAGCCGAGCGGAGTGGGTCTGTGCCTGAGGGGCAGAGGCCACAGCCTGCACCTGGGGCTACAGGAGGGAACATGCCCAGGGATGTGGGAAGGTGTGGGTGCAACTGGACCGTGGGGTTTGTTAGGGAGCAGTGGAGGCCAGGCCTGAAGGCCCAGCTGGGATACTGGTCAAAGAGCCTTTTGGTTCTGAGTGAGGCTGAAGCTTAGTGATTTGGCATGGGGTGGTGGGGGCAAGCTGGGCTTGGGGAAGCTTTTTGTGTGTACATTTGAGATGGCTGAAGGGCTCAAGGGTGAGAAGCGGCAGTTCGGGTAGGATATTAAAATAATCCAGAGGCTGAGCCAGGTAGGCGGGGAGGAGAGAGAGGAATCAACCTCTGAAGCAGCATCAGAGGCCACCCACTCTCCAGCCTCAACTCCCTGGGTTTTATACACGCCATCTCTCAGGATTGGGGAAGGGCCCCGGTGGCTACCAGGGACCAGTCTGTTGCAGGACAGGTATGGCTGAGCCCTGGCCCCATGTTCCAGGGGTTGCTGAGAATCTGGGGCTCACGTTAAACCTATTCTTGGCCCAGCAGCCTGACTTTGACAGAACATGCTGGGGGTTCCCAGGGGTCAGAATTGGCCTCATTAAAAACATTTCTACGTTAGTGAGATGGGGAGCCCCACCCCCACCCCAGCCGGGCTTGCTTTCCTTGTCCAGAACTCTTTGAAATCAGAAGCCTTAAAAGCTGAGTGAGCTCAATCTGTTCCAACCTCTCTTCAAGGCTAGAAATCACCTCAAGCCTTATAGACGAGCAATGGGCAGCCAGACAATCAATCTTTGCTTACATGCCTCTAGTGACAGTGAGCTCACTACTTCCCAGGTGGTCGTGCCCTGGAGGTTAGAATGCTAGTTTTATTCATATCAGCCCTGCAGGGACTCAGAGGCAGTCTGTCGTCTGTCCCATGGGTCTTTTAGGTTAAGCATCTTTGATGGTCCTTGCTCAGTGATGGCTTGGGTGTCTGCTACCACCAGCCACTGGGCTCTTCACCTCTCGTGATCTCTGCTGGGCCCATAGATCTGCAGTGGTCACAATGGGTGGTGTCCAACCTCAAGCACAGGCTGCACCAGGTCCTGCCCTCTGCCTCTGAGCCTCTGCCAGGAGCCTGCGGGAGGGGGTTGAAGAAGACCCTGCTCCTCTGCCTGACCTCCATCTCTGAGTCCACACACCTTCTCCAGGCCATCTTCCTTCAGGCTGATGATGTCCAGATCAAAATCTGTCCGCAAGCCACTGGTTTTGTTGAAAACAATCCGTCCAGTTAATCCTTCCCATTGAGCCTGCGGAGGGGAGAGGGCAGAGAGCGGCAATTCCTCAGGCTCATAAATCATCATTCGGTACAACTGTACAATGCTTCATTTTAATTACTCCTTGCACTGATACTGTTCCCCCAAGACCATGATTAATTAATAATCACCTCCATCATTGCTGGGGCCGCCGTGCGAGCCAGCGATTTCCATAAATTCTATTATGCTCTTTACCCAGCTCTGCATTCGCACCTCCTCGTGTACAACATCGATCTCGGATGCGCTCAAATGAGCCCCTGCCTCAAAGCCATGGGAAGGGGGAGCCTGTGTCAAACCCCCAGAGAGGGTAGGGAGGCAGCAGAGGTGCTGGGGCAGGCAAGAGCCGCCGAGAGGCAGGAACACCCGAGGGACCTGGCTACAGAACTAGGAACCTGAAGTAGCCCCCCAGAGGCAGGGGAGACCGAGGAGGCGCCTCCTCCACCCTCAGCCCTACCTCCAGGCACACTAGGACTCAGAGCTCTGGGGTCAGGGTGCTGGGTTCAAGCACAATCGCCGCGGGAACTTGGGTGTTCCATGTCTCCTCAGCTATAAAATGTAACTGATCGCTACGTACCCCTCCTACCAAAGTGCGGTAAGGGCGAAATAAATCACATAGACTGCTGAGAACAGTGCCTGGCAGAACATGAACCCTGGACAAATAGTGGCTTTTATTTTATCTTATTTAGTTTTAAAATTTGAAACGGTATTTTTTAATAGACCAACTATTAAGGAAATAGCACGTTCACGAGTTGGAACCAAGAAAACAGACAACTTAAGATTTTAATTTAAGATTTTAAGTTATTTTGATCATTATCCATCAAAAGACTCTAAATACAATAGACATTGTATTTTAAATATCTTAAATTTTTTTTTTTTTAAATTGTCATTAGGATCATTAACAGAGAGAGGCAGGTGGAGGTTCGGCAGGCCAAACTGAGTGAAGCTCCGCCTTCCAGACCACGGTGAGCCCAACTGGCCACTGGCTGTTTTTGTAAGTGGTTGATTAGCTCACGGTCGTGCCCACCTGTTCACAGACAGGTTCTGGTTGCTTTTGAAATGCAGCTGCCGAGGTGAGATGTGGGGACAGAGCTGATTTGACCCAGGAAGCCTGAACTTCTTTTCTATCTGCTTCTTTATGGAGAACTGGCACCACACAATACCTTTCCTGGGGGCCTGGAGCATCAACTCTATGAGGCACGTTCAGGCTGTTCAGAGCACATGACCTCCCTAGGGGTGGGGGTGGGGGTGTAGTGGGCCAGGCCAGGATCCTGATTCCGGCTGGAGCCACACCAGCTCACACAGCCCAGCAGAGACAGCAGAGACTGGGCCAAGTCAGAAGGCCTTCCCAGGGCCCTGCCCCGCAGCCCCAGCTGGGTTCCTTCCCAGACTTAGGATGGCAGCAGCTCTGCGTTGAACACTCAGGCTTTCTAAGTCTGGGGGAAAAACAAATCCCTGGAGTCCTGGGGAGCAAAGGTAGGCTTGGGAGCAAGAGACAACCTGGGGCCCACACAGCCTGACTGGGCTGGCAGGGGAGAGGTCTCCAGGGAAAAGAGAGGCCAAGGGAGAGCTGAATATTGGCTGCATCCTGGCTTGGATCAGGTTCCCTGCAGACTGAGAAAGGCCCCAGCCTTTCCCTGGATGAGCTTGCCCAGAACCCGTGCATGCACCCACAAGTTCCCACAGATCTGGGAGGCTGAGCTACCCATAGATCCCAGCGAAAACCCCTGGGACTCTCCAAGCACTGGGGCAGTTCTGGGGCACTGTGAGATATTCCTGATGAATACCCATGTGGACAAATGGGTTTCCTAACTCAGGAAGGGGGCGGCGCCTTGGGGGTCAGGAAGGCATGTAAAACAAAAGGGGTTAGAACATGAACTTTAGTGATCTCATCCCTCAGTTGCAGGAAGGGACAGGTTACCGCTTCACAGGTGTTGAAAAAGTCTATCAACTGCTTGACACGGAGTCTGCAAGTAGCTCTCTAGGTTTAGGGCTGGCACTTGGCTGGGGACAAAGGGGTTAGTCACTTGGGCCAAGTCCAGCTCCAGTAGGAAGCTCATCACAGAACTGTTATCTTCCCCTGCAGGAGCCCACTGAGTTCTCACGGTGATCCTGCCAGCTGGGCCTCCTATTAAAATGCCCCCACCTGACAGATGTGGATACTGAGACTCAGAGAGGAACCGAGTTATGCAGGTCCCCAATACTGGCAGGCACAGAATGGCCTCTTGCTGCAGTAGCAGAGCTGAACGGCTGCGGGGTGGGGAGAGCTGACATGGAACTCAGGGAGCTGGGAACCAAGGAACTGGGGACAGAGATTAAAAGACACACCAGAGAAGGCAAACGCCAAAGTTTCTGACTTCACAGGGAGGCTCTGCTTCCCTCAGGCCGGCTCCCCAGTCCCTCTCCTCGCAGCCCCCACAGCCTGGGCTACCTCCTGGCCCCCAGGGGAAATCACAGCGGGTGCCCTGGAGGCTGGCTGGGAGGCAGCTTTCTCCCCACAGCCACAGGGGAATTAAATGCCAGCAGGTGCGGCCTGTCTGTGGGCGGGTGGGCAGGGGCAGGGCAGGGAGCCACCGGCAGCTCCTCCCCTTGACATTTCCCAGCCCGCCCGCCCCCTCCAGCCGCAGCGCAGGACTCGCTAAATGAAAGATGCTTCACACGCTCTGAACTCCGGCCTGGTATTTCCCAGCTCCTCTCGGAAATGCCAAGTCTTTAAAATGATTTACTGTCACGCAGTCAGATGGGGAGACGGGCAACTCGGAAATGGACCCGGGAAGACCGTGCACGGCTCTGGAGGGGCACCTGGGTTCTGGTTGTGGCCAGCTGCGGGACCACGGGCAAGCCGGCACTAACGAGATGAGATGTATGGGGGCTGAAGATGGGGGTCATTTATCCTCAGGGTACCCCAACCATGGCCAGCCAGTCCCAGGAGGGAGAGAAGCTCCCTGGGAGGGTGGGCAGGGTTGCATCTGCTCCCTCAGGGGTCCATTCCAAGGAGGGAGGGGTGATGGGTGGAGTTGAAGCAGGGTGGTCTGCAGCCCCTCTAGCTGGAGTGGTGATGGCAACAGCAGTAACAGTGGCCAAGATCCTCAGCACCCCTGTGCCCGGCACTGGCCTCCATGCCCCACGCACCCCACCACTCCCTCAGTCCTCCCACAACCCTACGAGATGTCTGCTATGGCCTCCACAGTAGAGGGAGACATTAAGGTGCAGAGAGGTTCCGTAGCTTGGCCAAGGTCACACAGCTAGAAAGTGGTTAAGATTCCAAGCCACCTCCATGTGGCTCCTGATGCTCCCAAATCTACCTGCAGAGCCAGAGGAGGGATAGGGCAGGGCTGTGGACTGGCGTTACCGAGACCCCAGGGATGGACGTGCAGGGATCTGGAAATTCAGTCTCAGAGTTCCCCAAAAGCAAGTGATGTCACCAGCTGCTCAGCTCTTCTTGGGCATTGGGCAGTGAACTACCTCTGCACTTTTGATGGGTAGGATGGGAAGGGATAGTCGTGAACCTCTTAGGCCAGAGCATCTCAGGATCCTGGAGTCCCTTCCAGGAGTGAGGGGACTAGGCCCGAGGCCTGGCTTCTCCCTCTGGAGGACTGTCCACATTCCTTTTAATATTGCTGACAGGTGGGAGGAGCTGCTGTTGGCCTCACCCCAAAGCAGCCACGGAGACCTGGGGCCTCAGGGAAGCTGTCCGGCCCTTGTGTGAGAGATGGGGGTCCCCTGATGCCTTCCTTTGCAATGGAATCATATTTGAATGAAGTAACTGGGGGAACGCCTGCCTCCCTCCCAGGGCTGTGGGCTCTGTGGGTGCCGGGCTCCTCTGCTTTAGCCACAGTGGGACCCCGCACAGCTCGGTGCCTGACCCCCACAAGCCCACAGCAAATAGCTACTGAGTCAACAAACAAACCCTCAGGTCAGCGCGCCTCCTTTGTTGTCCCCTGTGCTTGTTCCTGAGGGACCCTCTACCTGGAGCCCTCCTGAAGATCTTCTCATTGGCCTTGGTGTTGCCCCACATGGTCACACCCTCTGGGATGCCCCGCCTAGATCTCCTCCTCCCTAGCCTCTTCACTGGACTTCATACCCCCATTTTACAGATGAGGTGACTGAGGCTTGGGAAGGTTCTCTAGCTTGCTTCAGGCCACACAGCCAGCAAGCAAAGACCCCCACCTGCTGTACATTGAAGCCCATGCTATGGCTGTCAACAGTACCGACCACTTGCCAGCACGTACCACAGCCTGAGGACTCTGTCTCTCGATCACCAGTAAGGCTGGTCCTTATACATCCTGGAGATTAGTGCTCTGTCTGACGTGTGTGTGGCAAATATTTGCTCCCAAAATGTAGGCTCTTTCCTCACCTCATTGATTGTTTCTTTTGCTGAGAAGAAGCTGTTTAGTTTGAGTCCACCCATTTATTAATTCTTGATTTTATTTCTTGTGCTTTAGGAGTCTTGTTAAGGAAGTCAGGGCCTAATCCCACACGATGAAGATTAGGGCCCACTTTTTCCTCTATTAGGTGCAGGGTCTATGGTCTAACTCCTAGATCCTTGATCCACTTTGAGTTGAGTTTTATGCATGGGGAGAGATAGGGGTTTATTTTCATTTTTCTGCATATGGATTTCCAGTTTTACCAGCACTATTTGTTGAAGAGGCTATCTTAATCTCCAGGATACATAAAGAACTCAAAAAACTTAATACCCAAAAAATGAACAACCCAACCAATAAATGGGAGCTGAGCAGACACTTCTCAGAAGAAGATATACATTTGATCAACAAATATATGAAAGAATGTTCAATATCTCTAGTAATTAGAGAAATGCAAATCAAAACTACTCTAGGATTTCGTCTCATGCCAGTCAGAATGGCAGTTATCAAGAATACAGACAAGAATAAATGTTGGTGAGGATGTCGGGGAAAAGGCACATTCATACATTGCTGGTGGGACTTCATATGGGTGCAACCAATCTGGAAAGCAGTATGGAGATTCCTTAGAAAACCTAGAATGGAACCACCATTTGACCCAGCTATCCCACTCCTTAAGTCCCAAAGAACTTAAAATCAGTGTTCAATAGTGACGCAGCCACATCAATGTTTATAGCTAAACTATGGAAGCAATTAGATGCTCTTTAATAGATGAATGGATAAAGAAACTGTGGTATATATACACAATGGAATATTACTCATCATTAAAAGAGAATAAAATTATGGCATTTGCAGGTAAGTAGATGGAGTTGGAGGATATCACGCTAAGCGAAGTCAGCCAATCCCCCAAAACCAAAGGCCAAATGTTCTCTCTGATAAGTGGATGCTGATCCATAATAGGAGGGATGGGAAAAATGGAGGAAATTTAATGGGGCCAAGGGGAGGGGGCATGAGGGTAGGAAAGATGGTGGAATGAGATGGACATCATTACCCTAGGTATACGTATGACTGCCCATATGGTGCGATGCTACATCGGGTACAGAGAAATGAAAAGTTGTGCTACAATTGCAATTGTGTACAATGAATCAAAATGCATTCTGCTTCATATATACCTAATTAAAATAAATTAATTAATTCATTAAAAAAAGACTGGTCCTATGGAGCTCATTTTCAACCAAGGAAACTGAGGCTCAGCTATGCCAGGAAACCTGCCCAAGTTCATGTGGAATTGAAAGCTGTCCTGGCTCTGAACCTGGGCCCACCACCGCCCTGCTGTGCTGGGGCGTCGGCAGCCTCTGGAGGGAGGGGGCGTGGGAACTCACCTCCTTGATGAAGTTCATGAAGCGGCCACCAAAGCGCCAGGCCTTATGCCGGTGGCACTGCAGGGAGTTCACCGTCATCTGGGGGGCCCGCTGGTAGCACACGGACACGATGTGGACAGCGTCATACAGTAAGGCCGCGTCGGTCTGGAGGGAGGTCCAGGGTCTGTCTGAGAGCAACCCTGAGCCCCTCAGTCCTTTGCCCACCCTGCCTGAGTCCTGTCTCCCACTGCAAGCTCAAGGCGTCCTGGTGAGAAAAAGGCCCAGAGGCCATCCTGTCCCACCCTGGAGAGAGGCCAGGCATGGGCGACTGCTGGTCTGCTAATGCTCCCGGTGCCACACTCTCCTGACAGACCTCCCACCCCGCCCCTTCACAGATCCCTGACCACTCCTCTCCCTCCTCCCCAGTCTCACACCTGCTGGCCACAGCCTAAAGTCCCTGTGCCCAGGATCCCTGGTCCTTATCCCTGGGGCCCCTGGGGCAGGGCTGTCTGATTCTTCTTAGTGCCCCTGGCTCCTGACCTGGGGTCCGGCTCACACATGGCAGGACTTAGGAAGTGGTGGGAGGGAGACAGGAAATAGGAAGGCAGGAGAGAGGGAAGGAGGGAGGGAAGGAAGGGGGAAATCAGGGGGAGCCCCGGGGGTCCGCCTGCCTGGCTGCCCTCTGTACCATCATCACTCCATCCAACAGGCCAGACTCTGCTCGGGGAGCCGCCTGCAGCCGCTCCATGGACCACTTCTCCACGATGGCTGAGACGTGGGGGTTGTCCACGTTGAGGATGCGGAACCCCGTCAGGTTCACCCCCGAGTAGCGGTAGGGCTCCAGGTCTAGTGCGTAGAGATCCTGGGGAGAGAGGTCTGCGTGAGTCAAGGTGCGGCCACTGCCTTAGCTCCAGCCCCGCCTCCTGCCCCTCCTGAATCAGGGTTGCCTGGGCCTGGGGCTGCGGCTCCCTGCAGAACCCTGCAAAAGTGCTGGGAGCACCCATAGGAGGACTGGACTCAGAGTCAACTCGGACTCAGGTCTGCCTGGGGCACTGACCTCGGGCTAACTAGGGGGCCTCAGCCTGTTTCTTCTTCTACAAAATGGGGACCACTCCTCTTTATAGGACCTAGTGAAGCAGTTCCCATGAGTCGCCCATCAGACAAGCTTCAGAATGCTGTTTCCTTTCCAGGGCGGCAGGGTGGGGAGGACACTCACTTTGCAAAGACAGAGGGTGCTAGGTCTGTCCATCTCCAGGTTACCCAGAAGGACGCTAAAGGGAATGTTTTCTCCTTTAAAAGAGGGGACTCAAGGAGTACTGCTGCCCTCCCCACTCCTTCCTCCCCAGTCACAGCCAGGGCCACCTCCCATGGCTCCTAGGAGCAGCTGTCCTGCAAATGGCCAGGGCAGGCCCCAGCTGAGCGTCCAGAAGAGCAAGGTCTTAGAGCCTGAGCAGCCCGCCCCGGCTCCTGCTGCAGCTCCAGCTTTGGGGCCAGGGAACCGTCACATCAGGGAGCCCAAGAGGAAGGGGCAGTGGGAGAAGCCAACTTCCCCTGACCTGCCAAGAGATGGCAGTAGAGAAAGGGTGGGAGGAAGTCAGAGGAGCAGAGAGAGCTGTGGTCTGTTAAAAATGACCCCCAACTTGGAAATAGGCAAAAGGGGAGCAGAACGTTCTCGCAATGCGACAAAGAAGGGTTGTTTACCAGGAAGGTCCAGGGTTACTTAATCCCCCAGGGGATGCTTTGACTTCACTGTTGGCTTCTGATTAAAGGCCCAGACGCAGGGTGAACATGCAGATCTGTGTCCAGCAGAAAAGGTGACCCCCCTAAGGCTGTGAGGTTTATTGCTTTGCAGGAGATTAATTAATTTTGTATCTGACCTATGTCTCCCCTCTCCTGTCTGAAATACCAATGAACACCCAGTTCCTCAGATGCTCTGCGGGCCAGCTCCACCACCCTACTGGTCCCTCCCACCTGGGAAATATGTTCATCTACATTTGCATGAGATTCATTTCTTTGGCTTTTTGAAATGTATACTTTGGCAATCTAGGTTGGCCCCTCCCATTGGTGGGGAAACTAAGTCTGGTGGTCATTGTTTGATCTCCCCCACAGCCTCTGCGTTTCCATATTCTTCCCTCACTGAGCTGACTTCCCCCCTGGCCTCTGGTCTGTCCTCTCCCCTGGGTCCCGGACTCCATCACTGTACCCTGTGCTTGAAGAGATGGCTAGACACCCTCCTTGGTTGTACTTGATTCTCCATGGTACCATCATTGCAGCCTCCACCCCATCCATCCCAGCCTCAGATGAATCAATGATGGCTCATGCAAAGATGATGAGTGATAAGAGCAAGAGCCCACAGAGCAGATCTTTTACACTGCGCTGGCTTCCTGCGGTCTCTGCCATGTCCCTAATGGATGCTCAACTCCTCCTGCTCCTCCTGCACCCTCAACGGCCCCCTTCTGGAAGGCACGGTGTTGATTTCTTCTTTGAAGGTTTGCAGAGCAGACTTAAAGGAAGGTAAGAAAGTCTAACCCCACCCGTGCCCAAAGGGGACCGTTTGCCTTTGGTATCCACAGCTCCTAGATATGGATACAACCACCACAGAACAAAACCATCAGAACAAGGTTGTGTCCACACTGAGCATGTAGGCTGAGCATTGTTTGGTCCTGGAACAATGCAGTGTGTTAGCTATTTACACAGCAGGGATGTTGTATTAGGTCTCATAAGTGATCTAGAGATGATTTATAGTACATGGGAGTGTGTGCACAGGTCATGTGCAATTACCACACCATTTTATAGAAGGGACTTGAACATCTGCAGAGGTCCTGGAACAAATCCCCCACGGCCACCAAAGAATAGCTAGACAGCCCTGATTCTAAGCCAGGATTTGGGTTGAGGAAGAGGCTGGATGAAAGCAGGAGGCAGGGTCTTCAGCAAAAGAGGGGTTCCCACTGAGATGGCCAGAGGGTGTCTAGATGGCCCCGGTCTCAGCGGGGAGTGGAGGATAGCCACTGTCCTATCCCTGCCTGTGGGGGACATCACAGCCCCCATGAAGTGGGTATTTAATGGTGTTCTCCTTTTATAGGTGAGAAAAGAGGGTGCGAAGGGTAAGGTGACTTGTGGAAGAGGTGATTATACCTCCAGGACTCTGTCCCCACAAGCGGGTTAGAGCATAGTGGGTCAGTTACTGTGGGCGTGATCCCGGTGGATGAGTTTGGGATTTCCTCTCTCTCCCTGGTATGCTCACGTGCCCTTCTGCCATCGTTACGATGAAGCAGGAAGGCCCTTGCCAGATGCCGGCACCATGAGCTTGGACTTCCCTGCCTCCAGAATTCTGAGCCATGTAAACTCTTGTTTATCACTTCCTCAGTCTATGGCATTCTGTTATCACAGCAGAAAATGGGCTAAATCACATCCCGAAGGAGGTGGCTTACTGAGGCAGCCTGAGGTGCTGGCTGAGAGCAGAACACGAGGTCAGGTTATCTGGGTTCAAGTTTCATTTGCCCTCCTCAGTTGCCTCATCTGCAAAATGGGATGATCACCATACCTACCATACAGGCTTGACGTGAAGGAAGCGGGTTAACTGACGTGCTCAGAACATGTCTGGTACACAGGGACATTTGACATGTGTCTGACAAGTTGCCTATTTGCCTGTCTGGTGGCAGGTTGTCACAACCAGGGATGCAGCCCCTAGGGACATCGCCGGATCACTGGAGGAGAGGAGCAGACTCGGGTTGGGCCCTTCCTACCTGAGCCCTCCTGGCAATCAAAACACTGTCACAGTTTGCTGAGCACCTGTCCCCAGCAGAGCAGCAGGTGCTGTTCTGAATGCCACATGTATTAAATTGTCTAACTCATGTCCCCACTTCCCACTCAAAGGAAGAAACTGAGTCCCAGGGAAACTTGAGTCTTTGGCTTGCGGGGACAGAGCTGGAGAGTGATGGTGTCAACCCCAGTCACTCACTCCTTTAACCAGGACCCAGGACCAAGAGAGCTTCCTCAAACCGCCTCTGACGGGGGTCTGTGGAGCTGGGAGAGGGTCAGAGCTGAACTGCTGGGGCCATGGGACAGAGGCCGACCTTTGCCCTCAGGGATAGCCCTCCTCCCACTCCCAGCAGGAGCCTTGGCCTCTTCTGATTCAGAACTGACCTGACGTCTAAGGCTTGACAGATGCCGCAGCAGCAACCTGCCCAGGGCCTCTGTGACTGGCTTATCCTCTTCTAGCACCAGAGACCAACCTGACTTAGGGTGAAGGGCGGCATCTCTGGTGTGGAGGGGGCCTTGGGTGCTGGTGTAACTGTTTCTCACTTTCCAGACACAGCATTTGTCTGTTGGGACAGTCACAGCCTGGGAGGGAATGATGGGGTGGCGTGGTTGGGGGGGGGGTCACCTTCCTCTTTGTTACCCGCCCTGCCTGGCTGCAGAGTGTTGTAGGGCTTGTGGCACAGAGTGCCCCCATCCCTGTGACATGAGGGCAGTGACAATGGTGAAGAGGCCTCTTTGTCCAGCTCTGATTATTTTTGCTCAAACTGCCCTGGGCTGAGACCCCCAAGTGCTGTACACAGTGAACTGTGGGCAACTCCGCCGCTTGGCAAAAAGTCGCATTCTTGATGCCAAATGTTGACACACTGAATTCAGTATCGACTAGGGACCTTTTAGAAACATTCAGCATAACATAATAGACTAATTCATTAGCACCCCATGGGTCTGAATGGGTAGAAGCTGAAGCTCGGGAAACATCGCCTTAAGGAATGACAGATGAAAATATCTTTCCCATGATATAACTGTTATTGCCGGGAAGTGGCATTAATTGTGATTGCTTATCTATTAATTTATTATAATTCTTTTTTCACCTCCAGGCTTTTACCTACACATGACATGTACCGGGCCTCAGCTGGGGCTGATTAACGCAGGGTTATCTGGGAACGGCTCAGAGCTGGCTGGAACAGATAATGCGGCAGGGGTAATTAAAATGTCTTCTGCGTGGGAGAAGCAAGTTTAGTTTGGAGAATTCTTTAGAGGCAAAGAGTTGGTGACGTGGGTTTCTCCAAAGGGGAAGGAGATAAATGCCAAATGCCACTGCCCTCCCCAGTACAGCCATGAATGACCCAGGGACACAAAGAGGGAGAATCGGGAGGTGGCGTTCTAGGCCAGGCAGGAGGTCCCTGAAGCTGGAGCAGGACAGGGTCCGGGGGACACAGCTGAGCCTGGGGCAGGGGGCTTCTGGGAATACCCTGGTAGACTCCGCACATTCGCTCCACTGCAGAACTATGTGTTCTATAGGAGCCGGCAGGACCCAGAGTCAGGAACCTGGGTCTCCGTCACTGATCTGCTGTGAGATTCTGGGAAAGTCACAAAAATCTCCCTGATGCCAGGTCTCCCCATCTACGGGGAAGGTAAGCGTCCTGCTGGCTGGCCTCAGTGGGGTGACGAGGAAAATCTGCAGATGCAGAGAGAGGGCCTTGAAGGGTGGGGTGCTGGGATTTGGCGGGGAGGCTCCATTTCCCTGACTAGGGTCAACCACCAGGGCTGGACCAGGCAGTATGTGGAAGCCCAGCTGGCCAGAGGAGCCGCGTGACACTTCACGCGAGCTCTGAGCATGACAGGTTTGGAAGAGGGCTCTGGAGCTGGACGGCAGATCCTAGGTGCCCAAAATTCACGCTCTGCCCCTTTCTTGGGGCGCCACCTCTCTGAGCCTCAGTTTCCAGGTTTTCTAAAATTTGGGGAGAGCCATAGCTTCCTTGGAGAGTTGTTCTGAATTCTGCAGGGGACGGGGTCTGCCGAGCACACAGAGAACATGAGCAGGACTCATTTAATTCGTTTATTGAATACTTCCACCGCGCTAAGTGCCAAGCGTCGTGTAAGCCGGTTATGGATATCAACGCATGAAACACTCCCGCTAACAATCCTAGAAAGTAAAACCGCTGTCGTCACGATTCTACAGAAGCGGAAATGAGTCACGGAAAGGGCAAGTAGCTTGCTCAAGGCAGCGGAAGAGTCTCGGTTCTCATCAGGGAGCCTGGCATCAGAGACCGCGGTCTTAGCTGAGGCTGCTGTGACAGTGTTGGTGACTTCACTGGTCACACTCTGCATTGCGGGCATGCACTCATTCATTCACCCATCACGCAGGCGTTAATGAGCACCTGCCACGTGCCAGGCATGGCTTAGCCACTGCAGGTGGATTTACCCATGAAGAAAGCCTGCCTGCCCCTGAGCTCTGTGGGACCCATCTCTCTACGCCCCTCCCTCCCAAATGCCCAGCTCAGAGCCTGGCACCTGGGAGTGCCTTTGTAAATGGCTGCTAGACAAATGAACGAATGATTGATTGAATTAAGGAAATGAACAGTTAAAGGGACCCTACTGGGAGCTAGAGGGAGACCCCGAGGTGCTAGGATCCTTCCTCTAAGACCTCCTACCTTGTCCCCAGTGGACAGTGGTCTTTCTGTGCAGGGCACTGGGGTCACTGGGGAGGTGCCTTTTGCAGAGCCTTGTCCTGGAATGGTATCAAGGATCTGGTGGCCTCATCCCAAGCCTCTGCTGACTTTCTAGTACACAGCATGGCAGGAAGAAGCCAGTGTGGGTGGGCAGAGATCCAAAAGGGACTCAAGGGAAAAGGTTCCTGGTCCCAGTCCCCAGGATTCCTTTTACCCAATGGGGCTCCTGGCAAGCTCCAGGTCTGAGCCCTGGACAGGCTCTGCATGGGCACAGGGTACAGCTGGGGAAGCGGGGTGACAGGCAGGTGTGCTGGTAGATGCTCTCTGGTGTGGGGAGGGAACCTCACTGGTAGCACATGCCTGCTTCTATGGCATATGCACTCCCCCCATGGCCAATTTCAAGCTACCAACAAGATGTGGAGTTGGGGGGGCGATGATAGCAGTCGGCTCTCGGAAGCCAGAGCGAGCCAACTCCAGCTCACTGCTCAAGAGCTAACCTGCCCCTCAGCTTTTGCTCATGCTCTTCTTTACACGTGGAGCCCCTTCCCCTCTCTGCCTTGCTGAACTCCTACTGACCCTTCAAAGCCCAGCGTCCAAGCATCTGCTTTTCTGCAAAGCCTGCCTCAAACCTCCCACCTTCCCCCAGGCCCTCAGCACGAGCATGCCCTTGTGCTGAGCTCCGCAGCCATCCTTCTGGCCTGTGCAGGCACAAGCCAGCAAGCCTGCTGTATCGAGCAGGGCACAGGGAGGAAGGCTCAGAGAGGAAGGCCTCTGTCCTCGTCATCTGCAAACACTCAGCTTAGCCTAGGTCTGGGTAAGGAATATAAATACACTGGGTGCCCAATAAATGAATGAGCTATACAGGGAGGGGCCTGCAGGGCTAAGGGTGGCTTGTTTCAGCAAGAGGGTGATCAGCGGTGCTGTTGCTGCCCAGATGTGGGTTGGTGGAATAGTCTACCAGGACCCTGGGGGAGGTCTGGGGTGCCTAGTTCTAAGCTAGGTGGCTTGGTGTTGGTGCCCTTGGCAAAGGAATACTTTTATTCTGCTGATCTCAGGCCACAACTAATTATCCTAATGGGTTTAAATGGCCCTAAATGTTCTCAAAGTTTGGACAGGACCCATCTGGAGCCTGCAGGTGGACAGCGAGGGGGCTGACTTCAGTGTGGACGCAGCAGGAATCAGAAGTGGTCATTCTCGTTGCTGTACAAGGCCTGAGACAGGCGTGGGAGAGTGGGTGCTGCGAGCGGCGGGTCACAGAGGAACACTGGCTGCCTCCCCGGCTCTGCAGGAACTAGGTGCTGCTCCCAGCATCTTGCCCGATGGACTCATTAGTCCTCACGACTTCCCCAAGGGGCAGAAGCCCATTTTGCAGAGGAAGAAACTGAGCCACAGAGGTCAGATGACTTACCCAAGGCCCCGTGGCCAGTGGGCAGTGGAGCTTGAGCCCATCCTGGCTCCAGAGCCCAGGCCCTTCATCCCAACACCAGGAGGCTTCTCGAAAGTGGGCAGGTCACAAAGACATCTATGGGCCCTTACCCGGAGCCACACCTATCGACTTGGATCCTCTCTAACTGCAGCCACTGTGTCCAGCAGGCTGGCCCAAGCCAGGCTACCATGCCCCTATCTAAGGCCTCCCACCTCCTTGTGCCAGGCCCGGGGGTACGTTACCAGCGTGGTGAAGATGAAGTGGTAGTACTCGGTCATCATGCCCATAGCCATGGCCTGCAGAAGAGCAGAGGGTCAGCCGCCAGCAGCACCCAGTGCCCTCCCTTCACCCAGGGGCGAGAGCTGGGGACAGGCCAGGCTGGGCCACGGGCTGGGTGAGGCTGGTGTCCTCTAACACCTTCCTTGAATAGTGACAATGACCAGCCAACAGATGACGGTGGCATCAACTGGGACGGATTCAGATGCAGAGTTTTGGGCCACACTCTCCAAAGGGTCCCCATTTTGTGGGACCAGCTAGGGTTGAGTGGTGTTGGGGGGCTGTCCTGAGCAGGGGCCTGCCCCAGAAGCTGTGTGCTGTGTGACATCCCTGCTCGGGTCCCGGATGCCCACAGAGCAGGCCACACAGCTGCTGCGGGTTATTATTCCACCCTCCACGAAGCCTGCATTCCCTGCGTCCTGTGTATTTTTGTAGAAGCCGATAATCCGTAATACTAATGACGCTAATGCTTTTTCCATAGAGCTCCTCAGAATGCCGGACCCACAGAGTGCTCTGGGGAAAATGTCACAGGATCAAGTAGACCTTGAAACTGCCACATGTTCCCGCCCACCCCTGGAGCCTCCCAGGCCCGTCAGCCAGGTACGGGTTGGGCTGGAGGAGCTAGCAGCAGGCAGGCGGCCTGAACTTCCTCCAATCCTGCATTTAGCTGAGCACAGCCCTCATTTTTAATTCTAGAAGTTTTCAAATCAGACAGAGCTGGGAGTCAATTCCAGCTTCCTAGCCGGATGACCTTGGGTCCATTACGTTCCCTTGAGCCTCAGTGTCTGCCCACCTGTCCACCAGGCAGGCTATACACCCCCCTTTCCGACAGTCAGTGAGGAGCGATGGGTACCTGGCAGAGTATCTCCTCAGTAAACCAAAGTTGTGATTGTCCCTTTCATTCTGTTACATGTGCTGGGAAGAGATGGGAGGCCCTAGGCACAGGTGGCTGGGAGAATGCGTGTGGAGGGATTTCTGGAGTCTGGGTTTCCTGCACATCCATGTCAAGGACGCCCAGGCCCAGTGCAGACTGTGCCGGGGACTGGGACCAACTCTTGATTTCCTCCACTCAAGGAAGCCTGCAGCACTGCGTATAGTGGGGGCTGTCAACCCCACCACAAAGGAGGGGTGGATTCCAGGCAGGTCACATGGAAGGGCGGAAGCAGGTGGGACTGGAGCCCCTTGAGGCTCTGAAAATACTCCAGGCCCCTGCTCAGACCCCCTGCCTCTTCCCCGGTGTCCTCGATGCCACCGGCACCTCACTGGCTCACATGCAGAAGGCCCACAGATGCCTGCTCCCGCCGCCAGGAGTGCTTTCTGGGGTGACCTAATGGCCTTTGACTCAAAGCACAGGCGCAAGTCTGGGTGGCTGGTTTTGGAGCCACACCCAGGAGGGGGTTGCAGGCGACTCCACTGTTGTTTTCTTAGGTGTCTGGCAGAGCCGGGCTCTTGTCCCCTGTGTGCCACGTGGAGCGGTGCCCAGCCAGGACCCCCACCCCCCCGCCCTGTTGCTTCAGAGTGGAGCAGAACCTCCATAACCCTCCCAGCAGCAGGAGAGGAACAGCACCCATCTCTGGAGCCACGGGGGGAATGAGTCACTGGGGGAGGCGGCCAGGCCTTCTGGGGACCGACCCTGAGAACCCAAGGCCTCTGCTCCGCGTGGCTTCAGGGGCCTCCCGGCAGCCCCTGACCCCCTCCAGATGGAAGGCAGCATTTACCCAGCGCTCCAGGCCTGGCAGGGGCAGGTCAGCCACCCCACACCACGTCAGAGTGCAAAGGTCACTCGCTGTCTGCTTGGCTGCTGGTGGAACTGAGGCTCAGAGAGGAAAACTGACACCCAGGGTCACAGGCCAGGCAGAGGCAGAGGTCAAGCCCAGTTGGGATGGGGCAGATGTGGCACCATACTCAGGAAAGGGGAGACAGTGGCAGGCAGACCCCCACCCGGTTCCCCACAGGCCGCTGCTCACGCACCTGCTTGAGGATCTGGGCGGCCATGGTGTGGCTGCAGTCGAAGATGATGCGGAACTCCCGGCCGCGCTTCATCTCCTTGAGCAGGGGGCGCGCGTCATCCGAGTCGATGGGGAGCTGGCGGATCTTGAGGCGGATGTTGTATCTTGAAGGAGCCATGATGAGCTCCTGCAGCCGGATGAGCCCTGGGGGACAGGGGCACAGCACACACATGGACACATGCGCACACACCCACTCAGATGCGTGTGCCTGTGGCCACGGGTCAACAGACAGACGTGGACACAATGTGTGGCCCACAGGGACCTGTACATGTCCCTGGGCACAGCCACAAGTGTCTCGAGACAGGCAGGGGTACCCGTGGGCAGACATGTGCACACCCCTGGGCGTGCCTGCCCACGCACGCACACTTATAGCAGACGTGTATGCACCTACGGATACATGGCTACCGTCGGGTGGGTGTGGACTGGACACACACCTGGGCTCATAAGCTCCAGCAGATGTAGGACAGAGGCCTGTGCAGACACGGATACAGGTGCACACAGGGACAGAATCCAGGGGCTCAGGCAGCGGATTCCTGCCCCCCACGCCTACCTGTTTCTCTCTGGTTCTAGGTTAGAGATTTACAGAAACGTGGGACGTCACTTCCTTAAACATCTCCAGCAAATCTGCCTCTGGGAAGTAGGCACAAGAGCAGCTCCGGCCTCAACGTTGCTAACCCAGACCAACCGCCCACACAGGTAGAGGCAGGTGGTACCAATGCCACCTCCCAAGGGCAGGGTCAAGGGCGGGGTTCATTCAGCCACCTCCTCCACGAAGCCTTCCTCTATTGCTCTGCTCAGAAAAGACTCTCTCCCCGACCTGCTCTGCGGCCTCTCCCTCAGTCTCCCCCAGCCTCCCCTCTCTCCTCACCTTGCAAAGAGCACCTGGATGTTCCTAGCTGGGTCCCCATGGCGCCTGGCACAGGGCCTGGCACTCAGGTAGGACTCAACAAAAATTTCCATAATTGGATTGACTTACTGTTTTTCTCTCCCCACACTGAAAAAAAAAATCTACCCTCCAACTTGGCATTTTGTAAAACCACTTAATCTGGGGACTTCCAGGGAAAACTGAATGTCACTTCCTGGAGACAAATGGCTTGCTCAGATCTAATTAAGTTCACTTCCGTTCCAGTTTCAAGCCACATTCTTGCTGACTCTTCTAGGCTTGCTGCTCTCCAGAGGCCCCCACCCAGCCCACTTGAGGAGGGGCTGAGCCAGCAGGTCCCTGCTCATCCCCAGGCCCGGCCCTGCACCCTGGACCCTGTTCTCACAGCCAGTAAGCTTCTGGATTTTGTGATTCTGCAGGGGTCCAGTCCCAGCTCTCAGGTCAGATCATGTGGCCCCAGCCTGGCCAGCTTGCTAGCACTTCCTCTACGAGTAGGGACTGATTCAGAATTGGATACAGGACCCAGTTGGTTCTATCAGAGTGATTCCCAGAACCTGTGCCAGAACAACTGGTCAGAAACTCTCCCTTTTCATTCAACTTCAAATAGGGAGGATATAATTCTAGGGGTCACCGCATGGAACTTCACAAGGACTCCAACAGGGCAGAAGTCAGAGAGGATAGACAGAAAATAAGTTCCAATGATACTCATGGGAGCCCCTGGATCAAACAGTACCTGAAGCTAAAATTATCCCTGAACATTTTAGTAAAGGCTGCCAACAAACCCTCCCACAACACATACGCCTTTTTTTTTTTTTTAAAGCTAGCTCATACTGGATTACAGTTGCCAAAGGCTGTTACAATGTCCCCTATCTGGACAGAGTCGTCCACTCGGCCCACTTCAGAAGCCTTCCAACAGAGTCCCACTTTCCAAAACAATCCCTGGCACACAGCCTGACTCCATTCAGCTCTCGTTCCCATTCCTGAGGGGTAGACAATGTGATTGTTGTCCCTCGTTGCACTGTGCTAGTGGGGACAGAGATGCAGCCCTGTTCCCTCTGCGTCCCAGAGAGCTCCAAAACAAGTTCCACCAAGGTCAGGGGCATCAGGAACAGCCAGCTCACTGAGAAGCCCCAAACCAGGTGCCTTGGCAGGGGGATGGCTGTGCAATTCTGGAATGTTCCAGGCCACACAGGCCTCCTAACACCAGGCTTGATGGGGGGAGGGGAGGATATCAGTTGACCTCAGCAAAGGAGGGGCCACGAGCTGCCCCCCATCCAGGCCCGTCTGTCCACCTCCCAACCGATCCAGAAACTGTCACTTGGTTTGGCTGAAAGATGTTGACCTGCCGCACCTGTTGCTGGTCGGGAGGCCCAGAGTGCGCAGTTTGCTCTTGGTTCTCCGATTCATGCTCAGCATCAGCAGGCATGTGGGCTTTGGGGACGCAGAACATGAGGACAGGGACAGGCTGGACGCTGGAGCAGAGGCCACCAGGGCCTCCGTGTCAGCCGAGCACATGTAATGCATGGTGACCCACATTCGCCGGCAGCAAGTGCCCGAGCTCCTGCCCATCAGTGTGTTCCCCAGGGAGGCCGGAGGCTACTCTTGGCCCTCCCTGGTGCGGGCCCGGGCAGCCTTTGCCTGAGCACTTCCTGGCCACTTCCCTAATCAATCCCTCTCAAAATATCTGCAGTGAATCACGGTTGTTGGAATCGTACTTTCCACTTACGAAGCACTTCTGCATTCATTACCCTATTTAACCATCTCCCAAATCCTAGAAGGCACAGAGAACGCAGACCTTCATTCCGACGTGACAGATAAAGAAACTGAGGGCTGTGGAGGTGAAGGGACCCTCCCGGGGGTTTGCAGATTGCTAGGAAAGGGATCAAACGTTGAGACCCAGTCTTTTGGCTCCTAGGCTGGGACCTTCCTCTCCACTCCAATTTTTCTAACCCTCTCCTTTCCCCTTGATGATGCATGGATTGGGTTGGGATGGTGGAGACGGCAAAGCGCAAAGGGGCAAGTGCTGGTCGACCGCAGGGCGAGCCCCATTCCTCGCCTGCCGGTATCCACGTCCTTTGCCCGTGTGCCGTGGTAGCACACGGGAGGACAGAGAGGTGCGGAGGAGAGCTGAGGTACGTCTGTCATCCCTGCAAGGCCTGCTGAGACTGTCCAATGGGCAGGTGAGCCAGCAACTGAGACCAGGAAAACCACCGAGCCACACTCGGGAAGTCGCTGGCCCCGGGGACTTAGGAGCTAACAAGTGCTTATTATTTCAAGCCACTGAATTTTTGGGGTGTTTTATTTTTACACAGCTTCTTGTAGGAAGGGCTGACAGATGCACTCTCTGCTGGCACGCTAAAAGAAGTGTGCTTTTGGTTGGTGGCAGGGTGCCAGTCCCAAGAGATGACTCATGACTGGGAGGAGCCAACCAAGGCAATCCCATTCCCATTCGACAGTTTCTAGAGTACTAGGCATGGACCCAGCGAGCTAGACAGGACCATCTTCTAGAAGGTTCCAGGAAGATTTCCCTCCATAAGAAGTACAACTCACATTAAGACACATCCCTTCAGTTCCTACCTGTTTCTTTCCTGCTTGGGGCATCATCAGGTTGAAGAAGTGATGGCCAGAGTTACAGCCACTCTATTGAGACCATGAGGGGAACCAAGAGGGCCGTGGCAAGATCCACCCAGCATCTTGACTTTGTGGAGCTGTGACACAAGCCCCAGAAAGGCCCAAGCCCAGTCTTGGCAGAGAGGTGACTGTGTGGTTACTGTGCAAGTTGATTTGAGCTGCGTGGTCTGTTACCAGCTATCCTAATGGACACCCCCTAATGGTACCCCCAAAGCAGAAAGCTAGAACACTTCCCATTCCATGGATCTGAGGACTCGCACGGTGTCCTGCCCCACCTACCATGTCCTGACTGCAAGCACGCCTCTTGCTACCCACAGTTCATTTTCAAAGCTAAATTTATTGTTTAAATCCAACCCCAAATCCCTAATGCCAATTGTCTTCCTGACTAAATCGCTTTCCTCATTGACTCTTTGTTTTTAAAAGCTTTTCTTTTGAATGGAACTGAATGGAATTGAGTCAAATGAAAAAAACAAATCAAATTAAGTGATGATTAAATATTGCAGGAAAGAATGTATTGGGCTCTGGGGAAAGAAATGAAAATGCAAGCGTCCCATTTTTTTTTTTTAAGGAATTAACCATATTATAGGAGAGTGGTGCCCATCTAGAGGTCACTGGTCACTCCAGGCCGTGGGATCTCAGGATCCAGTGACACCCGTGTGCAGTTGGAGCCAGAGGCTTGGGGCCAGGAAGCTCCAGACCTCAGCATGGGCTCTGAGCAATGTCACCAGTGAGGTGCCCGTCAGGGTGTGCCAGCTCCCTTTCCCCTTCCAAGCCCACCCCACCCACCAGGTGGAGGCCAGCGCCCTGGACGGTGGTGGACACCAGGGTCTGTTCTGCCTGCTCTGTGCCCAGGACACTCCGATGTTCAACACCCTCTCACATCGGGTCCCCTCTTCCATTCCGCCCAATTCTCTGCCAAGCCACCCCTCAAATTCAGACCCCCTTTGTCCCCACCAGGACCAAGACAGCCACCTCCTCTTTGGTCTTCTTGCTTCGGGCCTCCCCTTCGGTCCTCCGTGGGACTCTCTAAGAGCTCCTTCTCAAGCTGTGTCCACCATTCGACTCCTTTGCACAACGACCCTGAGGGCCGCAGCCACTCACGATGTGGAATCTGAACACGGGGGCCGACGTCAGAGCTCGCAGGGCCACAGACACCTGTTAGTCTGCCTGTCCCTCCACGCTGATCTTCTCCCAGGCCAGGCTGTCATCTTGCTAAGACTGCCACACACTATCCCATCCCCCGACTTTTGCTCCCGCTGTTCCCTGTGATGCCCTCCCCAGGCCCCTCCTGGTCCTTCCAGCCACAGGCTCTGGGGCAAGTCCCTCTCCTGTCCTGTGAGTCAGCTACGACTAACAGGGCCACAGAGCCTCTGACACCAAGGCCTCTAGCTCCGAAGGCATGCACATGTCCCTTGATTCTCAGTGCTGATGGCCTGAAATGACCAGTGACCTCCAGATGGACACCTACTAGTCTATAACATGGTGACTACCCAAGAATAAAGAATGAAAGAAAGAAAATGAAAAGATGAGACCGCAAAGCCTTCATTTCTTCACCCACACACTCTTCCCTGGAATATATAGCTAGAGTTTAATTCAACCGGATTTTCATTTACAAACATCCACCTTGCACCAGGCCCTGAGCTGAATCTGAGGGCTTGTGCTCGGGAAGGGGAAGGAGCTCAGAGACAGACATCCTTCAGAGTGGGAGGTGGAATTAGTCAGCTTTTTGTCCCTCTGGTCAAAACACCTGACAATTACAACCTAGAGGAAAGGCTTCTGGCTCATGGCTTCAGAGACTTCAGTCCCTGGTCAGCCAGTCCCGCTGCTCCGGGCCCCAGGTGAGGATGAACATCATGGCGGAGGGGCGTGCTGGAGGACAGCTGCTCAGCTCACAGCAGCCAGGAAGCAGAGAGAGAGAGAGAGGGAGGGAGAGAGGAAGGGGCCGGGGACAAAATAGAGTCCCCAAGGGCACGTCCCCTGTGACTCCCTCCCTCCCAAGATGCCCCACGTGCCTACAGTCTCCACCGCCTCCTGGGAGTCCATTCCACTATCGATGGATTAATCCACTGGTGAAGTCAGGGCCCTCCTGGGCCAATCAGTTCCCCAGAGCCCCGCCTCTGGACCTTGCTGCCTTGGGGACCAAGCTGTCAACACATGAGACTTTGGGGGACATTCCAGAACTAAAATGTAACAGATGTTCGGCTCTAAAAGCCACGGTGCTGCAGTGACACTGGCGGTGACTCGGCTCTGGCAGGAATGCTCCTTGATGGAAGAGCCCTTGAGCCGGGGGCGCCAAGGAGGGGGCGGGTCCCTGTTTTCAAGGATCTGCTCTGGTGCTTTGGGTACAGCAGGAGCTCAGTCGATGTTTGCAGAACCCCGAGGTAAGTAAACAGCTTTTCTGAGGCTGCTCTCCCTGCCATTCCCACCCCCCACGAGGAGGCAATCAAGGGCCGAGGCTGGATCACAGCCCTGAGCGCTCGAGGGCTCTTCCAGGCTGGACGCTCTTGACACGTGGAAACCGCGAGGCCAGATGGGCTAAGTGACTTGCCAAGGTCACTCTCTCTGAAGAGGCCAGACTAAGAAACGTCTTGGGACTTGAGTCTTTGGAAAGAAAGAGAAGGAGAAGGCCCAGCTGCACACTAGCTACGAGCCCGGGCTTTGGAGGCCAACCGGCCTGCAGGAGCCCGTGGGCTCTGACCAGCTGGGCAGGCGTGGGCAGGGTCTGTGGCCTCTTTGAGCCTCAGTTTCCTCATTTCTAATTCATCACTCCACAGAGTCCCCACGAGGCTCAAAGGAAATCAAACGAGTTCACACCTGCAAAAACACTTGGCTCACGGCGGACCAGCGCTGGCTTCCTGTACGCACTGACCTGGAAGCATTCCTCTTCCCCTGCCTGTCCTTCACCCCCGTGAAGGTGACCGAGCATGAAGCCAGGGGCTGGCAGGGGCTCCTCTCTTCCCTTCCAATGGCTTGCACAGGTCCTTTCTGGAACTTTCTGCAGCTCCTTAGCTCTCTGTGTACAGCTTCACAGAGACATGATGCGGTGCCCTGTCTGTTCCCCCATGACACAGGCCTTGCTAAGATGGAGACCTGACTCTCATTCCTCTAGGTGTCCCTGGCTCCCAGAAATGGACGGGGTCCAAAGGGAAGGCCCAGAATGCATTTGCTGGATTGGCTGGTAGGGATGTGCTCTGGACCCACACGGAGGGGCCCAGGGCTTGAGAGGCAGATGGTAACACATTATAGTAAGAGTGTTTTCTGGAAGGCAAGCGTTAGGCTAGATTTGGAGGTCAGACAGGACTGGACCAAGCAGGTCCCACTCAGAAGAATGCTGGTGTCAGCTCCAGCTATGCAGGGTTCATGGGACAGGTGCCTCTACTCCAGGGAGTCCAGCCCAGGGCCTGCAGCTCAGAGCCACATGCCCCATGGCCCCTGTGCTCCCTCTGCCATGGAGGATGAGACTGGAGCCCAGTGTTCTCTTCGGCAGCCTGGCCTTGGCTGGGGTCCACAGCCTGGGGGTTGGTGTCTGTGTGAGTACAGCTGGGTGTGTCCAGGTGTCTTGGTGCCTGAGTGGAGGTGGAGACAGGTGCGTGGCTCAGCACAAGTGGAGGAGCATTGGAAGAACTGACTCCAGCAACCACACTGAGTGCTGGTGCCTGTGTACACCACGCCCTTTATCCTCCGCATTTTACAGCTGAGGCAGCTGGGGCCCACAGTGGCCACCCAGTCATCGGGTTGGAAAGCTGGACTTGAACCCAGGTGGTTTGGCTCCAGTGGGTACACACTTAACACCAAGCCACCCATAGTAAGCTCCGTGTGTGAGCGCAGCATGAGAGCAGATGAGTTTGCTTGGAATGGTGCTTGGGGGTGTAAGTGCAGCAGGTGTGGTGTAGGTGTGGGTGCAGGTGTGGTACAGGTGTGGGCAGGTGTGGGTGCAGGTGTGGTGTAGGTGTGGGTGCAGGTGTGCTGCAGGTGTGCACGCTGGGCTAGGCTGGGTACCACATACAGAGCTGAGCACTCATGCTGCAGGGGCTTGGGTGGGAGTGTGGGGTAGGTGTGAGGCAGGCGTGAGGAGGGCTGAGATTGAGCTCGGTGTGCGACTGTGGTGCCTCGGGGCGAGGGGTGTGACTGTGAGGGCGAGCAGGTGTGACAGGTGAAGCTGGGCATGGATGGGGACAGTCTTTTTCCAGGGGTGGCTGTGTTGGGCGAGCAGGTCGGAGCTCCACCCTCCACTCCCCCGCCGGGCCCTGTCACTCACCTGTGCTGTCGTCATAGACCACGGTGGCTGACCGCCACTTGAGGTACTGGACCAGGTCGAGGATGGCGTGGCTGAGAGAGGCGTAGTCGGGGTAGAGGTTCACGTAGAAGGTGTCCTTGTTGTCCAGCGGGTGGTGCTTCCAGCGCAGCTGGATGTGGGGCACCTCCAGGGCATTGCAGATGGACTGGACGGCATTGGTGCAGGAGCCCTGCGACGGCCCGAAGATGGCCACCACGCCCAGGGCCAGCTGGTCACAGGCTGCAGGAGAGGGGAGGGCAGCACCGGGGTCAGCGCTGGGGGTCATGGGCCCGGGAGGCAGTGACTTGGACCATCCCATAAACCTGTGGGGAAAACAGGGGGGCCCCCTTGGAGGGCAGACAACGGAGCAGCATCCCCGGCTCTCGTGGGAAACCGAGGAGCAAGCAGAGTGAAGCAGGTCCTGGCTGGTGCGGCTCAAGCTCCACCCTCCAGCTCCGACCTTCCCTAAGGCCTGGCCTGGACGGCTCCCCTCTTCCCCAACGTCACCGTTTGGACGCTAGGATGCATCCCAGATCAACATGTCCAAGCATACCCCCTCTTCTCCTCCCAGCCTCCCCGAATCAGCAAAGGGCACCCCCACTGTCCCACGCCCTCAGGCCAAAAGCCCTGACTTGTTGTGATACTGGTCCTTCTCTGGCATCCCATGCCCCACCCCAGTCCGTCAGCTCCGGCCGCTTCACCTTTGAAACACACCGCCATCTGACCACCTCTGCTCCAGCCCACTCCCACAACTGTCCCAGCTGCCACCATCATTCATGAGATTTATGGCGGAAGCTCAGTCATCCTCCCCGCTGTCCCTTCTGCAGCTAGTGCGAGCCCTTCATGAACACGCAGTGGGTGACGTCACTCCTTTGCTCCAAGGGTTCCCAACCCATGCAATGTCAATACCAAAATCCTTCCAGAATCTATAGAAGACCTACTTACTTCAGCTCATCCCCCTCCCTGTCCCCATGACCACTGCCACTTCTCTGACTTTGTCTTTCATCCTTTTCTCCTCACTTCATAACACTGAAGCCCCTCTGGCTTCCATGATGATCCCCAGACACAGTGAGCACTAGGCGCCTCAGGGCCTTTGCACTCGCTGTTCTTCTAGCTAGAATATCCCCTAAGATATCCACATGACTCTGTCTCTCCTTTCCGTCAGATCTCTGCGTTTGTGTGTCTTATTAAGGAGACCATCACTGCCCAAACCTACAATACCAAGTCCAGTCCTAGCACACTAAGTGCCCTGTGACCCTGCTCTATTTCTTTATTAAATGATCACCAGAATTTGTTTATTGGTTGGCTTTCTCCTCCTGCTAGGTTGTAAGCTCCAAAGAGGCATTGGCATGATCTGTGTTGTTTATTGCCGACCAACAGTGCTTCACCAACATCGGAACCCTGAATGGATGCTGAATTGGTGCCTTCAAACAGTTCATGCTCTGCAGAGGCCCAGGGGCCCACACAGGTCAGACAGCAGATGCTTTGCGCTTGTTTGGGATGGTCCTATATCCCTGGGCTCAGACGAGCATCAAATGAGCAGACCCGGAACAGCGGGGGCGCAGGGCAGGGATTTTACTAAAAGATCTGCATAAAGGGGGCCTCTTGGGTACACTCGGGGAGGGGGCCCTCCAGGACCTCACCTCGTCCTCCCAGCCATCATCTCTCATTTTCTGTCTCCACCCCCTTTCCCATTCCCTACCCAGAGGGGTTGAGCATGTGACTTAGACCCAGGCCAACCACTCACTAACTTCCCCTTGCTCATGGCCATTGGCTGAGAGGATGGTCATGTGGCCAGTCAGAGCCAATAGGGTGCATGAGACCACCGGAGAAAGGGGCTCTCTCCTGGAAGCAGGATCTGCCCCTGCAGTGGCTGAGCCGCACTCTGGGAGGAAGCAGTCCTGTCCGTGGGCCGCCAACGTGGAAATGAGCAGAGCTGAGGGAGGGAAAGACATAGGAGCCCCAGACCCAGCGGGCCCCTGAACTCTGAGCCAGCGCATTCTCTGTGCTTCAGCCATTTAGGTTTGGGTTTCTGCTTCGTGCAACCATCAGAGATGCATCAAGGTGACAGGAGTGACTCCCAGGCTGGGCTCATGGGAACGGCAGCACACACCCACGGGCATGCCCAGGAAGCATATAGGTGGGGACCAGACACAGTGCCCAAGCATCCGTATTCCAGGTAACAGACACGTCTTAGCTGCCTGATGCCCCTCTGGAAGTGACCTGGGCACAGGCCCACTGCTAAGATTTACAGGTCCGAGAGCCAAAGTACCACTGGAGATCCTGGGCCACGGGGCTAAATATTTAAATGGGAGTCAAGCTAACCACTGTTAAGCAAAATGTGTCCTTTCCCCTATCTTGAGAAACGTGCCTTCTGAGCAGCTTGCAAGGTCAGGTGGGAAAGGAGACGTCTCCCATACAATGGTGTGGAAAGAGGTGGCCTCTGGTCCCCCGCCTGCCCCTTCTGTTTTACCACCGGCTCCATCCTGAATCACAGGGGCCTCTCTCCCTCCATGTGGACATCCAGCCTTCCCATCCATCACAGTCTGCACCTCTGCCGACAGCTGTCCCTTGCTCACCCCTGGGCCCAGAAGCTCAGCCCTGGAAGCTTGGCTCCTCCCCCTGGAGAATGGACCTAGGCCAGAGGGTCATGCCTTGGAACTGGGCTCAGGACCATCTGAGCAAGAAATTCAGGGCTCTAGATACTTAGAGCAAAGTCTAGAAGGCTCCTGGTGGGCGAGTTACCGTGGTCCCACTGACCCTGTCTTGGGAGAAGAGGCCAATCGCAGGGGAGAGTGTGGCCCTCCAAAGCACAAAGAGGTACCAAGGGACCCAGGGACCCAGGTAGATTAGAATCCAGCAGAAAGGGTGCTACATTCACCGCCCCTGCTGCCTCCCGGGCATGGGAGGCATAATACAAAATGGGAGGCATTATACAATATTTTTTCTGAAATTCCAACTTCTCCCAAGGATATTGGAGACCACCATCTGGGGCCCAGGAGAACACAGAGCAGTGTGGGAGGAGCCAGTGCCGTGGGGAGTCTTGGAATCACCGGACGTGGGCCGGAGAGCAGTGAGTCAGCACAGAGGGTGACCAGGGCTCCTTGTGTCCAAGGCCAAGTGCAGGGAGAGGACACACCCCAGTCAGAGGGTGCCTCCTGGCGCTCTGCGGTCCTGGGCCTGGAGGCCAGGCCAGAGGAGCACCCTTTGTCCCTGCCCGAGCCTCAGGCAGCCAGCACACGTGTGGGCAGTGTGTGGGCACGTGAGCGACGATCCCCAGGGAGGACAAGGGCCCCAGACGCCGAGCTCTGGCTTCGCTGGCCAGCTGTCAAACTTGGGGACAGTTCTCTTTGCAGTCTCCCTTCGCAGGGAGGCGGCCCCAGCTCTCAGCTGTTCCTGCTCCTCCTTGTAAGTGTGCGGAGCCCCGGCCTCTCCACCCTGTCACCTTCGGAGTAGGAGCTCCCTGGGGGAAGAGGCCTCTTGTGACTACCTCTAGCTACAGACACTGGATACCAAGAGGGAGGAGATGGTGACAAGGACTAAGTGACAGCCCTCACTCAGGCTGGGCCACATGGGCCCCTTACCAAATTGTGCCTTTCCTGTTCCCCATCTTACCTCTCTGTCCCCGTTTCTGTCCCAGCACTTCCTGTCTCTATTCTGTTTTCCTGAGGGCTCTTCATTCTGAACACGTGATGCGATGGCTGTGGTCTCCCTCTCTCCCTCTGCCACTTCTAGAACCTTCCTGCTGGATTTCACCCATTCATCCGTGCCCTGGAGCCTCCAGGCACATCTGCCCACCTCTCCTGCCTTGCACAAGCCTCCAGCAGCGCCCTCCCCAGGCCCCGCCCGCATCCTGTTTGAGGGGGTGGAAGGCCCAGGTGACAGGTGTGGTGATGCGAGGGCATCAGGGTGACCTCGGAGAGGGTTTTGATTTTGATGTTGAGGGTTAGGATAATGACGTGATGGAGAAGACCCATCATGAGGCTGGAGACAATAATAATGACAGCCTCCATGACGGGGAAATTGACAGGGACTCTGTGACAGCCACGTGGGATACTGTTGTCAATGTTGGTGTCGTCAAAGACGTCAACGCTGTCACAGCAGTGGCGATGACAGCAGTGGCGATGACGACAGTGGCCATGATGATAGTGATGGTGATAGGATGTGGTGACACTGGTGACAGTACCAGTGGGATGGAGACTGCGGATGATGACGACGGTCGTGGTGGTGATGGTGATGTTGGCGTTGGTTCCAATGGAGGTGATGACACTTTGACAGTGTTGATGAGGTGGGTGAGGAGGAAGGTATGGCCCATGATGGTGACAGTGATGATAACGTCAGAAAGAATGGTCATGTTGGCGTTGATGGGGATGGTGGCTGTTGCTGTCACGCAGCGATGGAGAAGATGACAGCAGGGTAGCGTGGTGGCACTGGTGTCAAGAATGCAGGTGACGTCGTCGTGGCTGGCAACAGTCAGTGTGGGGCTGACCTATGGGTGTCGACAATGGTGACCACCTTGGTGATACGATGGTGCTGCCCATGCTGGGTTTCCTTCTGAGATGTGGTGGGAGACGTCGGTCCTGCGTCCACTCTCTTCTCCACTTCCCTTTCCCTGTCCTCTCTAGTTCCTTCTGTCCTCCGAGGCTCTCCCAGCCGGGGAAATAACTGCTACCCCACAGGACCAGGGCAAGGGTTGCAGCAGCTGCTGCCACAGCCACAGCTTTCCCCTCCAGATGTTTCCAGGGCAGCAGCCAACCCTGGTTCTGGCAGCCCCGAGCGCACACTGCAGTAATTACATTATTTGTGGCTTCAATTTGGAGTCCATTTTCTGGTCATTTTACAGTAACTCAGGGGTTCACAGTCATCGCAGGAGTCCGCAGCCTGAATGCACCCCCTCCCCTTTTCCATGGCGATTATAGTTATAGCAAAAATTATCCCAATCAATTTATGTCTTAAAAGGAATTGAGCAGCCCAGAGCAGAAGTGAAGGCCCAGGAGCCCGGGGAGCTCCGGTCGATTCCAGGCCCGCTCCGGTCAGACTTGGACGAAAACACAGACGCTCTCTGGGTTTCTGGCTCAGAGGCCGCTGGGCAGTCAGTCATCTTTTAATTTTCCACAAAACATTTCAAAATAAAGACAATAAGTGAAAGTCCCTTTTGATTGGGAATAGCCTCCTGGGTCTCATGCGGCAGGGGGGAGGGCTGATTCATCCAGAGCTGGTGGGGCAGGCAGTGCCAGGCT